CTCTCTTTCTCTCTCCCTTTTTTAGCTCTTATTATTTATCTATTTTTGTTAGTAACATTCTGATCACTCATAAACAAGTTGGAATCTAAAAGGTTTAATCAATTACCGATTATTCTAGTCAACATAACTTCTTTATTCATATAAATAGAAGGCAGAATAGAAGCGCAAATCGTAGCCCTACCTCAACAAGAAGTCCAGTTCTTATGCGTACTGATCAATGCCGATAACATCCCCGCCGAAGCCATCAACAGCGGGTCTGTTAGGAATCCTTTGCCATCCCTCACATCCCCAAAAACCATCAACCCGTCAGCTAGATCCTGGACAAGCGACAGTTGCTTCAGGAGCAATTTATGCCTCAACTTCGAAATCTCAACATCATCGCCATCCCTATACTCAGCAATCCTTCTTCTCGACTCAATGGTTGATCTAATCTTCCTGACTTCCTTCACCTTAAGAGTGATGCTCCCCACATATCCAATCAATTCCGCCCAAGCGCTGACCGTCTGGCAACTCCTGGCTAGCTCCGGCGACAGGATTCCAACTTTGGAGAGCCAAACGACCTGTTCAAGGAAATAGTAGACGCCCTCTCCTCCATAGGCTGCCGCGGAGAGAAGAAAATCGACGTAAGAGGTGGGTCGGCCGGCGGCGTCGCGGAGCGCGTTGACGTCCTGTACAAACTTTCCAAGGCGGAAGGCCTTTCGGCTGAGACCAACGCTGGACTCGAAAGACTTGAGGCGGGGTGTTAGGGTTTGGGAAGGGAGAGAGGAAGCGATGGCGATCTTAGCGGCGTAGCGGGCGATTTTGAGCAGCTTGTCAACGCCGTCCCGGCGAGCAAGGTAAGCCTCTAGATGTAGGAGGAAGTCTCTCCCGTCATTGCAGGAGTTCGGCGAAAGCAGGGGTTCTGACTTCTGCGAGGGTTTCATCTCCGCTTCCATGACTTCACGGTCACCTCGGCTGAGAAGAGATCGAGGAAAGCCGAGTAGGTTGGCAACAGGCCTTCGGGCTTAATACAAATGCGTTCTGGTTTTGGGCATGTGTTCTTCGTTTCGTGAATAGTATTTGGAGCAGGTGTACTCAGGAACAGCAGACCCGG